TTCAGATGAGTATGTTGCATGAAAAGCCACTGCTCCAGGCAGCTATGGTTGCTTGTAAGTAAAATGCCATATTGTCTCAGACGACACACACGTACACACACACAAACACTTCATGCTGAACAAATAATTTCCAAATATTTTATTGAACACCATAGCAGCAAAGTCATGACATTTTAAAGGTAATAAGCAAATAGTTTCTACTGTATTTGGCCTGTAAGTACTTTACAGACTAAAGCATTTGAAATAGGAACACGCAATGCCTACTTGAGAAACATGAGAAATTTTATCAAAAATGTATTAAGTTGTTTTCAAATTCATATAGTTACACCACCATATCAGATTCTCTAGAAGGCTGATTAATTTTTACTTCACTACCTATAGAAACTTGCAAATTTACTTATCTGCTTAACATTCTGATATACTTTTGATTTCTGAATTATCTAGGTTTCCCCTCATCTCCTGCTGTAGAAATCTCTAAATTTATGCTAAGATTTGCTTTACATCAGGGGTGTCAAACTCAATTTCATTGAGGGCCGCATCAGCATTGCGGTTGCCCTCGGGGGGGCAGGGGTGTGTGGCCAGGGTGGGTGTGGCCTACTGGATGGGTGCGGATGGAGTGGGTGTGGCCTATTGGGTGGGCATGGCCAGCTCTACATCGTTCGATTCAAGGGTGCCTGTGGGGGCCTGGGTAGGAGTGGCACAGATCTGAGGGTCTCTGGCAGAAGGGGGTGGGACCAGGGCAAGTGCCAAGGCATGGTCCACTGGATGAGCCGAGCTGCCTGCTGAAACCCCTCTGCTGGAGCCCATCAAGCCGGATATGTAAAGTAGGCGAGGGCCATTTGCTAGCCACTTCCAGGTGATGGTGCATTTCTTCATTCCTCACAAAGGGTGACACCTCCCCAGCATGCACCCAGGAGGCGAGGCCGATGCGGCAGGGGCTGGTTCCTCACTGTTTCCAGATGGCCTTGTGGAGCTAAGACTGAATGCGTTTCAGCATAGATGGCCACCACAAAATTGTACATTGGCTCCTGGCCGACCTGGGCCAGGGCCAAGGCAGTGGGGGCCGTTCCCTCACTGTTTCCAGGATGGCTTCGCGGGCCACATGGAACCATTTTGCAGGCCACATCTGGCCCCCGGGCCTTTGACATGTCTGCTTTACATGTATCAAACTGAACATGCCACAAAATGCCACAGAATATCCTCACCGCACAGTACGAGATTTCTTGTGCTGCATTCCAGGTAGACAGATCTTTTTTCCAGGATAGGCCATTTCATAGCCAACCAGTTTTTAATTTTTTTTTCAATGTTTCAGAGGTAGTGAGGATGTTCTCAGTTCTTACTCACCTGGAATCTGAATGAAATTTAGATTCCCCTCTCCCTCCCCCGTCCCCATTTTTTCCCCTCTTTGTTAAAACCTCTTGAGTTTTTCCACACTTGCTTATATCTTTCCCCATTGTTTCTATATGATCTTCACAGAAATTCCAGTCCTCTTGGCACCCATCTTCAGTTCACATATCAAAAAGGTTATTTGTTGGGAAATCTACTATTTAATTTCTAATGCAATGGCAAATACTTGATCATGTGGTTTCTTAGAATGCTAAAGGTGGAGTTATGCACTTTAAGTAATTCTAAATTTTATTAAAGAAGGGCTGATCCATACTATCACTGAATTACAGCAAAGAGCTCAAGAGATCTCAGTGGCAAGGAGCATTGCTCTGAGTGCAGAATAGCCCCTCTGAGTCTGGAGTCCTCCCATCATTCCCAGCCGGTACTGCCCATGGTGACTAGGGATTATGGGAACAATAGCCCTGTATATTGCAGTAATCAAAATTGAAGAGCAGCAGCAGCAACAAAGGTTTCAAGTCCTAGTTTTAACAGTGGATACTACAGTTTGATTCATTACATCTTGAAAGCAAAATACAATCTGACAGGCTACTATGGGAGTACAGATTGGATCTATGATACCCTTGTACATTATAGGCATTATATTTCTTTTAATAAGGATTTGTGTTTTTTTTAAAAAGACAGATATAAAAAAATAAATTTCCATTCTAAGTTAATCCTAAACATTATAAGCATTCAATTGTAGCAGAGTTTGCATGAACAGTGCCTTTCTTCTTCACAGTCATCAAGGAACATCATCTATCTAAAGAAAACAGAGAGAGGGAGAGAAGATTAGTTGTTTTGAGTATTACTATAAAACAACACCTCCCTAACCTTAATATCTGCCTACAAATAATCTTTGACTTACAACCATACATTTGATCAGGGCTTTTTTTCTCATAGAACACCCAGAACGGAGTTCCGGCACCTTTTTTGGATGGAACCTTGTAGGGTAGGCAAGGCGGGTTGTATGATGTGTGTGAGTTCTGACACCTTTTATTTTTTTTTTAGAAAAAAAGCACTGCATTTAATGACTGAAAAAAGTGACACACTTACAACCGTTGCCGAATCCCCTTAGTCATGTGATCAAAATTCAGGCGCCTAGCAATTGGCAAATATTTTTGACAGTTGCACTGTCCCAGGATCAGGTGATCACTATTTGCAACTTTCCCAGTCAGCTTCTGACAAGCAACGTCAATGGCAGAAGCCAGATTCACTTAATGAGCACATTTAACAATTGCAGTGATTCTCTTTACAACTGTGGCAAGAAAGTTTGTGAAATGGGGCACAACTCAATTAACAACTGCCTTGCTTAGCAATGGAAATTATATATATATAACCTTCCTTGATTGTTTCATATTCCACAACTGTTGTCAAAACATCTGTGCAAAATAATTCCAGTGTAAAAAATGTTGCTGACAATTTGGTTGCTGGAATAGACAGCTATTAAAATGCTGATATTTATGTATATATCAACATAATATCTTGCACTATGCAAACATATATGCTAGGGACTTTGCGCACGAGGGCTTGAAGACTATTTCGTATCCAGAGAAGATTAGAAAGCATTTCATCATGCCTCTGAAGCAATGTGAAACTTGTTCCACATTATGGAAGGAGCAATTTTTCTAATAACCTGAAACCCCAATAGGTATTTTGCAGACTTTGTTAAATGGCTATAAAAAAAAAAAGAGTTGTTGGCAAATGTGCCCTGAAGAGGGAGTTTCAGCCAATCACAGATCCACAGCATGAGTACTAGCACAATACACTTTAAAATCCCTGTTCATTTCATTTTATTCAGAATTTAAATCTGTTTGGGTACATTATTAGAAAGTTTAACTAATACCTAGGGAAACAAACATGATGCCCATGGTTGCCCTTCTAAAAAGCTGATGAGTATAGTTGATTTGATTCTAGGGACCTCCTGTCTGAAACTCATCTCTGAAATTGGTGATTTTCAAACTGACCATCTTGGGCTATTGGGACAATATATATGCTATACTAGGATTCAGAGTTGCAAGTGGGAAAGAAACTACTTGTATTATTTTGTACAGATTAGAAAAAAGAAGTATCCCAAAGTCTGTTTCGAGAAGGAGACCAATCTTGCTGAATCTTGTTTTTTTAAAAAAAACCTTGGAGAGACACCATCCTTGATATAAGAAAGCAAACTAGATTAATCCAAAATGCTTTAAACCCCCACGCTATCCCCAAATTGTCTGTTTCCAGATAATGTTCAGGCATAGTTTTTTCCACTCATTATTTGAAGAATACAATCTACAGAATTCCGACCCAACACAGTCAATTCCAATAGCTCTAGTGCCAGCAAATCTGGAGCATACAAATTTGAGCAAGGTTGATTTGGAAACCAACTGACGGACAAATGGGTGGATGGATGGATGGATGGGACAGAGAGAGGGAAGGGAGAGAAAGAGTCTTGTGATCTTTGGTTGGGAAAAAAGTTTAAAAGCAGCAATTTCACATGGGATTTGGGAATGAAGAATAGAAAAGGTGTGTGCTTGTATAAAAGAAACTGAAAATATGTGGTGCATCTATACAGTTAAATCCTGGCTACTTAATTTAGGAATCTCTTCTCACTCAAAGTTTATTCTGCTTATAAATTGACCACAGATACCAATGATTTCTGAGCTCTTTATTACAAAGAAATAAATCCTGGAACATGGTTAACTTCGAAGATCCTACTGCTCAAGTAAAAATCAGCTGTTCTTATAAATACTTTGTCTCCTGACTTTGATTTTTTTCAGTTCTTTAATTTTGTGAAGATATAAAGGATAATATCTCAGAGCAATAAGACTAGTCTGAAAGCATCCTCATGGAGTTCATTGCAAACATAAATGTCCTTTCTAGAGATGGGCTGTGAAACAGGAGGAAAAAGTAAAGTACTGTAAGTTGAAGTAAAAAAAAAGTCTGCATTACACTGATTGGTTATTTTCGCACAAAAAACCCTTTTCCTTAATTTCCAGAGCTACTTAAAAATAATTTCATTTCATTTTTTTCAAACTGAGATGATAACTAAGCTCAGAAGAATGGCTGTTATAATTTGTTGTAGAAAAACAAAGTAAAGAATCTTTGGGCACCCTAAAGACTAATATTCATTTTGATCTACTTTTTCATGGACCAAAGCTTATAAAGTACTTGAGGACAACAAGGAAACAGATAAAAGTAGAAAGTTATATGAAACTTTTGGAAGTAATAAAACAAAGCCTGAAGATTTGAAAAAGGCAAGACTGAGAAACAAATTAGTTGCTATTAATTTATTCATGCACATGTCTGTAATTGAAACTACGAAGCGCTTGCAGGTTAGCCAAATAATGTACTGTGAGTTGTATTTATATTATATTTGTCTTTACTGAAACTGAAAGGTGCCTAAAACATTCTGCTGGTTCAAGTGTTTTTAACTTTCAGCCAGTTCTGCACTCAAATCACTCTTCAAGCAGAGAAACAAGTATATTTGCTGATGGTTACTGTAAAAATCAGTGGCAAAATGACAAACCCAAGCCAGAGGACCATGACCTCTCTCATCCCATTTTCCACATCGTGCTGCATGACCAAATGAGGTACAACGATGAATGCTCATTTTTTAAAAAAACTTACCACATTCAGGATGCCAACTTATTGAAAAACTCGATGACTTTTGCATGCCCTGCAGCCTTAGCCTATTAAAAAAAAAGATTGCAATACCAGTAAGCACCAACACGTTTACATACACTAAGGCAGGGCTTTTCAACCAGTGGTACGGGTACCACCTGTGGTACATTGGCACCTGGCAGGTGGTACGCGAGCATCCTAGAAAAGTGGTAGCGGGGGAGGGGAATGAGCTGAACCGGTGGCAGCACCGCACAAGCCTGAGCGAGAGATGGCTGGAGCTGCAGGGCTGTCAGAGCTCAGGGAAGCGCCAGGATCAGTGCCGCTTTCCAGCTGATCGGTGCTTCTTTCGGACTGTCAGGGCTGAGTGGAAGCGCCAGGATCAGCGCCAGGCTCCAGCTGGGGGGGTCATCAAGTTTTTGACACCTTGCTAGGCGACTGGTGGTACTCAGATATTGCCATATCCTAAAAGTGGTACAATGAGTGAAAAGTTGAAAAGCCCTGCACTAAGGAGCACAGTGGCTAAATTGTTTGGAACTTTGGGCAGAAGGTTAGCAAGCCTGGGGTCGAGACCAAGAGCTGCCATGGGGCAGGGTTGAGCTCTTCTCCTTCACTCCAGCTCCTGCTAGGGACATGAAAGGAACCCACAACTGGGTGTCCCCAAGGCAATGGTGATGTCACTGGCTAATCCTTTCCACCCAGAAGCACCAAATGCAAAATGGATATATACAGTATATCTTCCATACACATAGCAATAGCAATAACACTTAGACTTATATACTGCCCCATAGTGCTTTACAGCAGTCTCTGGGCAGTTTACAATGTCAGCATATTGCCCCCAACAATCTGGATCCTCATTTTACCAACCTGGGAAGGACGGAAGGCTCAGTCAATCTTGAGCCCTGTCAGGATCAAACTTCAGGCTGTGGGCAGAGTTTGCCTGCTATACTGCATTCTAACCACTGAACCACCAGGGCTGCTCAATATTACAATATGTTCCTATAAGCATCATCCTGTTTTATTGTCTGGTCAAGGCTCTGCTCCAAAATTCTTCAATACTTAATACCTTACCAAGAACAATTTGACATTCTTGAAACTTTAGAAAGATGGGATCAATGTTTCTAAAGTTTAAAATTATACTGTTTATCTATACCACATCCAAGAGTCAAGGACTGCTTGAAAGATACCCGTTGTTTGAAAGAAAAAAAAGTGAGTGGTTTTATTTTTCTTGATAATCTGATTTTCTATTTATTTTTATAGCTGTTTATTTCTTCTGAGACTTTATTACATAATATGCTACTTTTAAATAATGGGCTAGAAGTCTCTTTCAGCTGAGCTGGCAGGAAAAACATGAAAAATTGATAAATAAGCTATATATGCTACATACACTTAATTAGAAGTGTTAATTCCATTAATTGTATTAACGCTATGGCTAGACAGCAGTTCTTTCCCTCTACACACATGCACTACACTACACACATACAGAGACATACACTAAAATTGTATAGGTATTTGCATAAAATTCGTGGCAATTACCCATTTGAGCAATGTAATTCTTACTTGCTGGCCCAGCTACTTCTCTTTATTTGGAGGCAGCACTATCAAACTGAATTCGCCAGTCGCCCATGAGAGTTAACTATGCGGAACAGATGTAACGCATGTACAGTTAGTCTTGCAAAATCTCCCTCAATGTGATTCCCCATTAAAACTTCTGAAAAAGCCTCTTAATAGGCTTTGAGCATGACCTTGCAATATTCCCTGCATCTAGAACTGAAATCTGAATACAATGCATACACAGTCTTTCTTACCACGTTAGCTGGAGTGTTTCCATCATAACCAGTTTGATTCAGATCTACCCCAGCTAAATGCCATGCCAGCAGACCATCAAGATCTCCATGAAAAGCAAGACTGCAAAAAAAAAAGTACTATTCTAAATATTCTAAGTTCAGAGAAGTACAGCTTACTTTACAAATATACAGCAAAAATCCAAGCTTTTATAGAATGATAGTTCACTTTTCATTTCCGCCATATATTTTGTTTTCTGTAATTCTAATTCAAGTATTTTTTTATTTTACTTATTACAAATGCTTTTATGCTAATTCATGTTTATGTCAGTCTCTAATCAGCTTATGACCATAAAGTTCAATAAATGACAATATACCAATCAATAAACATATTAAAATAATATCAAAAATAAAAGGTACAATCAGTGATTATAAAATTATAATCATCAATAACCAGATTCATCCCAGATTCAGGTACTCCTAGCCATTCTTGCCTTAGTCCCCAGGGTAGACATGGTGGAAGCCTGGATGCTTTACTAGGATAAAAGGGAATGGAGAGGGGCAGTGAATAAGGTTAGTATAAATTATCTTTATCTTTGAGTATATGATTTTAATTTCTTTGGCTTACTATTTCTTACTCCCTTTCTGTGATGATTATGATGATGCTATCCATTTAACCAAGTCCAACTCTTGGTCATTCTATGGGCCAGGTCTCTTCACATCTTCCAATCTTGAATTATTTCTTTGCTCTGGCTGGCGTCAGCTTTGATAATGCCCAGCCATCCTGTTCTTTGACAGCCTGGCTTCCTTTTACCGTTCATCCTTCCAAACAAACATAATTGCTTTCTCCAGTGAAACCCTTTTCTGTACTTTGCTTAATAACGCTAGTCCTAATAAAGAATAGGGTGATGGGTATGAATGTATTTATATATGACATGGCAATTTTTTCCTTCTGAGGAGGAACATTATTATCTTCAAAGGAAGCATAAACCTAAAATAGTTCACTCCTTGATGGCTTTTAGCAATAGTTTCTTGTGATTGCATCAATTGGGCCCTTCACTCACATATTTTACTATTCATGCTTATGCATCTTGTGCAATATGATAATAGGGTCAAGATATTCTTGTTCCCTGAACCCTATTAAGGCTATAATATCTGAGCTTAAAAAATCTGGACAATCACTAGATGGCAACAAAGAGTTATTTCCATAGACCCACCCCCTTGGCAGCAATCTAGTGAACATCCAAATATGCCCAAATATGGAATATTAAAATTAATAGCTATAATTTTTTTTAAAACAACACTTTTTTTAAAAGGGTGAGAAACAAAAGGCTTGGAAAAGATGCCAGAAAAAGGAAGACAAGATTACAAAAGTCCAAATAGCTGAACAAGCAATGCTGCTTGATGAATCAGCTGCATAAATTAACAAGGGCGTTTGGGAAGAAGTTTTCGACAGGCTGGTTTCACCCAGAAGGTGTGCCCATGACCAAAGGGAAAGAGGCACAGGCAGTTTCATATTTCACAACATCACAGCTATCCCATAAAATGCAGTTTAAAGGGGATGTCCTGCACCGAAGTTGCTTCAGATTTCATGTTTTTGCTTCAAAATTCAATACTCAAATACAATATGAGAACAAAGCTGTCAGATATGTTATTATTTAATATGAAAAATGATCATATGATCTCCAGCCTCCTGAAAGACACTTGCCTCCTCAAGTTTCCAAACTAGAGGCTAAGGAGGTGTTGCAAAAGAGCAGGTAGGCAGGACATGTAAGGTGCCTTACGTGCTACACCTCACTTAAGGGCTGCTCCTATTATTAGGCAAAGTGAAGCAGCCACCTAAGGCAAGAGATTCTGGAGGACAGGAGAAGCCCTGTCCCCTAGCCAGTTCAGCTAAACCCTTGGATGGAGCTTCACGTACCACATATCTATCCTGGGTCAAATAAAATAAGAATTTATAGTGGTTACCCATAACTAGAAAAATACAATTTCTTTTTGTTTCAAACAATGTATTTTCTACAAACATTGTGGGATCTTTTCTTCAGTCAACATTAAATGGGCAGAGATCTGGTAGTAAGTTGGAGTTCTAGTTTCATGCAGTAGCTTAGAATGCTCTTTTCAAAGATGCAACTAATATAATATTTTAGAAGCTGGACCTTAGAAAAGGTCTGAAGCACCAATCCTGTGCAAAGATGCATGGAAGCAAATTCCAATGAACACAAAGCAAGAGGCAAAGCAGACTCTACTTCAAGCTACAATCTAATCCGGGACAGAACTTCTCACCAGTCCTCCTTTCCTTCACTTTTCATTCATTAGCATATCAACCACTCAATCTGGGGATATGTTGCCTCCCTGTTGTTTTCTTTCTGCTGGGGGTTTCAAGTTTTTTTTTTCTCTGTTAGCTTTCATCCACCCTCTTGTCTATTTCCTTCTACAACTTCTGCCTTTGAATTATCCTTACAGTATTTTGGAGGATGATGTCTATGGAGATTCTCAGTCAGTCAGTCATGGTTGTTCCAAAGGTGCTTTTTTCACGAGGCAACTGGACTTTCTTGTTTTTCTTTGAAGATGTTTCGCTTCTCATCCAAGAGGCTTCTTCAGCTCTGACTGGATGGTGGGGAATTGCCTCATGAAAAAAGCACTTTTGGAGGATGATCTTTCACAAAACAAGGAGGGAGTCTCTTTATACTATTTCTTCTGCTGATTTTTCCCCTTTCTCTTTTTATCCTAGGATCCATTTTCAAGTTCTGTATTTCTCAACTGGTTAACTGGTCCTTAACCACCAATAGTTTTCCGAACTCTTAAGAATGCCTTTCTTCATCCATTCCTGTAAATCCCTTGGATCACTTTTATGTTAAAGTTACCAGCCAATGTCTCTGCTTCCTTATTTGTCAAAAGTCCTTGACAGAATGTCCTCTTACAATCTGTTCTTCATTTGCCTTCTAATATTTTTTTCAAACTATATCCATAAGAATTTTAAGCAGGCTACAAATAAACCAGCAGTTTCTCACATTATGAACAACATTCTGAATGGCTAAGTCTGGGTGTTTTATATCAGTTTTAGTCCCTTTGGTTCTGTGGCAGTATCAGGCACACTTGACCATTAGGGACTGTTGTCTATATTCTTTGGATATCATTGGCATTGCCTCATGCTCAGATTACTGTGGTAAATTCCTGGCAGTTTTTCTCAATCCCTCTATCTCTCCCTGATCTTCGTTCTTAACAGTATTGCTTGGGATATCTTGACTCTTCCATGTTATTCTCATGCCTTAGTGCAATATAGGATTCTCCACTGGCTCTCTATTCAGGTCAGAGCCCAGTATAAATTATTAGTAATTATATTTACAGCTTCCCAGGATTATACAGTACAATACAGAATTCACAATACCTGACTCAACAGTAGTACCTGTCAGAAGGTTCTTGGTGTTTTAGTAGATAACCACATAAGTATGAGCCAGCAGTGTGCTGTAGCTGCCAAAAAAGCCAATGCAGTCCTAGGCTGCATCAACAAAGGTATAGCATCAAGATCACAAGAAGTTATAATACCGCTCTTTATTGCACTAAGTCCACACTTGGAATATTGCATCCAGTTCTGGTCAACACAAAGATGCTGAGGCCCTAGAAAGAGTGCAGAGAAGAGCAACAAAGATGACAAAGGGTCTGGAGGCTAAACCATTTGATGAATGACTAAGGAAACTATGTTTAGCCTAACAAAGAGAAGGCTTAGGAGTGACATGATAGCCATCTTCCAATACTTGAAGGGCTGTCACAGAACAGGAGATTTATTTATTCTCTAAAGCAAGTCACGGTAAGACAAGAAAAAATTTGGAACTAAGGAGAAATTTTCTGTCAGTGAGAACAATTACTCAATGGAATAGCTTGCCTCCCAAAATTCAGGGAGTTCTGGGAGGTCACTGGAAGTTTTCAAGAAAAAAAATAGACAACTATTTGTCTAGGACAGAATACAGAGTCCTGCCTAGAAAGGGGGTTGGACTAGAAAACCTCCAAGATCATTTCTAGCCCTATGATTCTGTATCCTTCAGTATTTACTGCCCTTTTTTCTCCCTACAATTCTGTTTGTTTTTTATATTTCTCTGAGCAGAGTCTTATTGTGGTACCTCCATAGAGGGTTATGGTTTCAAGTTATGAGTCTGGCCCTGTGACTCTCGAATCAGCTCCCTTCATCTTTATAGAAATCTGATGGCCTTTAAAATATTTTTTATTTACTTTGTGGATTAGTATAAGTTCTAGTTGTTCCACTTTAACCATGATATAGCTGATAATTCCAAATTAATTCTAGGTTAATTTTAAATTATTATTAGTGTATACAGTATATACTCAGGGCATTCGTTTAAATATATTTATTGTTATGTTGGTTGTTTTAGTGCTTTTTTTTGCTTTGTTTTCTTTGCACTGTTCCCTGGTAAAGACACAAAAATTAGTATTATGGCTGTTATTTCTAAGTAAAAGAGGTAGGTTTGTAATGGACAAGATTAAACTACAAACCAGAAAGATGACAGAGTACCATTGCCTCTGCTGAATAGTTTTTTGACCAACTACTTCTCAAAACCATTATGTGCAATATGGGAATAATTCCCAGTAACATATGTGATACAAGAATGCAGGTGAAATATTTTAAACACTTGGACATGTTTTATAGATACTTAGTACTTATTATGAATGTTTATTAAGATTATTATTACAATTAAACTATGAAGTAGATTTGATTTGTCACAAGTTCTAGGTATATGTAATCACCTAAACTGTTAAACTGTTGATATAACAATTTATCAATCAGTTTATCAATCAGAATAAAAAAAGTGTATAAACATGCAAAAGTTCATCAAATTGCCAAATCAAAGCACCCAATCTGATGCATGGAGTTGACTTGGCAATTTAATTCAAAGATTTGATTTTAAGACAATATAACTGAATCACCACTTTAAATTGAATCTTCACATAGCTCTAGAGAATTTTCAACCTAACTCACCTCACACTAACACACTAACCTTGGAAGAAAGATCAAATAAGACAGAAAAAATAAAGTTATTATTTTTTATGTTGAATGTGTCACCTCACCTTAGACTTGAGAAAAGTCAATGACATGTCACAAGAAGCAGCAAG